TCATTAATTATCAGTTTAAGGAATTCCCTGTCAACATTTCAAAACACAAACTTTCAATTAATGATCCTAACATCTTACCTCTAAATATGGGCAAGAAAAAGGTATGGATTTTTCCCTTCTTTCGTAATGCCAGTTGTGCGAGAGAAATGGTGCTATGATAAAGAAGGCTAGACGTTTGTTGAAGCATGAAAGTGACTCATCTTTGGGCATTCTGTAGGAAATTACAAATCGGATGCTCAATAAGCCATTTTGCTAAAGTCTTGGGCCTATTTCAGAATGGCTGTCATATTTTTGTCTCCAAAATATGCTGGAAATCAGAGTGAGAATGGAAATCAACATGCATCACAAAACAAGATACTGGGCATCTTAGTAGACTATATATATTGTCTCTAGCGTAGCTCTAAATAGCAGTCATTGTATAACAAACGGTTTTTATTTAACAGATTTAGACATGTTCTTTTTTTAAATGTTTCACACACGTTATATAATGTTTTTATTTATCATTTTTTTAATTTTTTTTTAATTTATGTGATATTAAAGTATTGAAAGTGTTTTTAACTTTTTTTTATAATAAATTTAATTATTGTTATATAATATTAAACTATTAAAAATTTATAAATTTATTTGTAATTATTATTTTATTATCGTAATAAAATACATCTTGAAATCGCGATCCTATTTGTTTCTATAATTACACCCATGACTTAAAACTATAGTCTCCAATGGTATTGCATGGCATATGATGCAGTAAAGTCCAGGCTTGACCTACTTTTTGTCAGGTAACCTAATCCAGAGTTGGCATAAGTAACCATTGTGCATCCATGGTGATGATATTTGCTGCCTTGAGAGGTATAATTGAGCAGTCTCTTTCAAACAATAACCCTTGATTTTTATTGGATTGCTCCGACTCCTTGGTGATCATTATCTGTTAATTAAGTAGCCGACTCTTTTGTCCTCAATGCTTGGACTAAGAGAGCCCATAAGATGCCAAAAATGGCCAACAACTTGCCATTCTGTTCCCATTTGCCAAACTGCTCCTGGGACAATAGAAGGAAAGAGAATTTATTAAAATGGGAAGATGGTACTTAGCTCCCAATTGCTAATAACAAGAACGAGTTGTTTCCACTCCCCCGCGAAAAACCTGCGAAAGCGATCAGAGCCCGTTTCCCTTTTTCCTTCGTAGGATCAAGATCATCGTTCGGCCTACCTCTACGATATTTAGGTGCTTGGCCTACCTCTTGGAGTCTCATGCTACCTTAAGATATCTTGTAATATTTCTCTTTTAATGTCAACATATATATAACAATCCATGAGCTATCCACCAAAAAAGAAATAACGAAAAATGAATAAGACCTTTAAAACTAAATTACAAGTCACATTTTGTTAAAGATTTTTTGGTCTAATGAATAGGAAGATATTTGTATCCTAAATAATAATAACAATAATAATAAGCTGATTCGAAAGTAAAGTTTATCTTATTAAAAAAAAAAATCAAAACAAATTTTAGGGATTACTGCCTTATTGGTTTGCTATTCAAAGTTGATTTAATTGTTAATTCTTTTTCAAAACTTTATTTATTTATTTATAGATAGCAAGATATTTTCGGATTAGTTTTTAAATCAATGGAAATTAAATTCAACATTTTCTAAACTAAATCAATGCCAAATCAAAATTTTTTATTTTTATTTATAAATAATAGGATATTTTAGGATTAATTTTTAAATGAATCAAAATTAATTTTATCATTTTCTAAACTAGATCAATACTAGATCAAATTTTTTATTTATAAATAGTAGGATACTTTAGGATTAGTTTTTAAATGAATCGAAATTAAATTTTTCATTTTCTAAACTAGATTAGTGCTAGATTAAATTTTTTTAAATAAAAAATGAGATATTTTCATAACAATTTTTATATCATTTAAAATTAAATTCATAATTTTCTAAATAAAATCAGCGCTATTATATTTTATTTTATATCCATTTTAAAACTTATATTTTTTAAATTCACTAATAATTCATATCTAATATTATATAAAAAAAAATTGAACTCCTTGTTTAATGAATTAAAAATACTCCTTTAGTTCCGCGGTACTTCCTTTAGTTCTATCTTTATCAAATTCACAACCTCATCTTATTGTCGGTATGTCAAGACCGTTTTTCTTTTCTTTTCTTTAACTTTTGGGAACCCTTCAGCTTTGGAATTTTTATCTTTATCATTTCCGTCCCCCAATTCTTTTTCCTTTTCTCTTGTTTATTGCCAAATTTAAAAGTATTCTATTTTAGTAGCTTTTTTATTTGTTCACGCAACGGCACATTCATACCCATACATACACACATACGTAGACGTCACTGATGGTCCAGTCCTAGTCAACTACTTTCTTCATGTCTCCATTTAAACTAATCCCATGTTATGCTCTTCGGGTAAACGACCATATCCACCGTAAAATAATTAGAGTGACAATATAAATAAAAATTATTAAACCAATTAAATAATTATTGCAATTATTCTGGCTGCATCTCATAGTCTCTTTCTATTCTTCTTTTATTCTTAAAAAACAAAAAGAATTACATTTCAGAATTAAATTTGATAACTAACTATTTTAATAAGAAAAAATTAATATTAATAAGTTATTAAATCTTCAAACAATTTAGTTATATCTTCGATATGAAATAGAATATCACAAGAAAATATGTATATATTAAAAAATATATAAACAATTTTTTTATATAGTATAATAATTAATAATTTTTTAAAATTATGTAAAAAAACACTTTTTTTTAAACATGGAGAGAATAATTAATTAGCATATTAGTTAAAATCGGTCCTACAAATGTGAATTTCTTACTTATTTTCTTTAATAAATAGGTGAAAAGGACTAATTTCACACTTAAGCATGGATGAGAATGATTAGTGTATTGATTAAACTGAAATCTGAAATGATTAGGGTCTTTCATTTTTTATTTTTTGTTCAATGACAAGGACTAACTTAATTAAGTACTCTTTAACTACCGCTTGGTTTAATTATATATATATATATATATATATATAGAAAAAACAGAAGATATATCTCAAATCTTTCCTAAAAAATTGTAGTGCATCAGCTCGATAGATCCTACCACAAGACCAACTCATCTAATATTCCATATATTTATTTTTTAAAAAAGTGATTTTGGATTATTTTTGTAAAATTAGGATTACTTTTTCATAAATAAGGTGATGGTGGCCTTAAAAAATAAGGCAATGGTAAAAGAAGTTAGTGTTTTATTTATTTATTTATTTTGTTTGCTGAAAAATGAATTAATTTTGAAAAAATAAACTCCATGGAGTTATTTTTTTATGTTTGATTATGTCGTAGAAAATTGTTAGAAAATTCATCTAAAAATAGCTCTGTCATTATATTATTTACCTATAATAAAATTAATATGACCTAACATGCTTTAGCTATCTTATCAATAAAATAACATAAATTATACCTAGAATAAAAGAAATCACAGCATAAATTTTTAAAAATGACTTTGAATCATTCGCTCTCAAAAAAAAAAAAAATTCTCATCTCAATTAAAAAAAAGGAACGATTTTTATACTTGATCAAGAATATAATGATTATTTAAAACGCCAAAGAATTTAGAAAACAACTAGCATTTTCTAATTTGAGAAATTCTTGCTTCAATAATTATTAAAAAAAAAAAGTGAAGGTGCTTCTGATGTAAGAAAAGATACGTGTCCATCAATATCTGATCGTTGATCCTGAGGGAAAGGTTCCCACATCACAGTAACTTGATTGCATCAAACGTACTGAACATGCATTGGGACCTAGATTCCGCAACACCAAATCTCCATTACCTTGTTTTTTTAACGAACCTAAAATCGGTTCCTCGGCTATAAATAGATTTTCAATCCAATCCCCATACTAGTAATTCTATCAATAGGCCCCCTAACTAGTAACATTACATCATATCCTACCATCAACCGATGTCTGTAGTTGAAATTGAGGCACATAGAACATGCCTCTGGATAATTATCTGAAGTAACAGTAGAATAATTATAGTTTTTCAACATTATTTTACATCTCAATTTTATTTTTTTTACCCTTTTTGTTATTTATTTATCTCACTTGTTTTCATTGGAAAAATGCTAATAGAGTTTTTGTTTTTTCGATTTTATGATACTTAAGCAGTAGGATATGCTAAATAAAAAGGATGTTTGAAGTAATTGATTTTTTACAATTTTTTAGTTATAAATAATAGAGCATTTTTAACTCAGTTTTGAGATCAATTGAAACTGAATTAATCATTTTCTGAATTAGATTAATACTAATCAAGTCTATTTTTTATCATTTTAAAAAACTTAACCTATTAAATCAGAAACGCTATTTTATCACTCAACTTATAACCTTAGAAGCTAGTGATTATAGGCATGCATCTTTAACATCATAAGCTGACAACAACACAATTTATAAAATTAGTAGTTGAGGGATTATATTGAGAATCTAATAATAGTTGGAGGGATATTTTAAAGTTTGCCCTTTCATTTTTGCAGTGCCACTTTAATTATCATAAAACGAAAAGAAAGCTCCTTGCAACTCTCCGTATACCATTACCCAGTTCACGTCTCTGTAGTCCGTACTGTGTAGTAGTTTTGCAGTTGTCTGCAGTCCAAACCAGAAAAGTCTTATAAACGCAAAAACGCACCAGTGTTTTGTCTCCATGAGCTTAAAAAGACAACCTTAATTTTTTTCTCTCTCTCTTATTATTACATTCTCGGATGATAATCGATAAATAAATCCCCTACCTCTGTAATTATTAGCTTCTTTTTTTTGCTCTTGCAAAGTAATGATTTGGTAACGTTAATGGAGTTGCAGTTGTTGTTGCCACCTAATCCAAGAACACCCACTTCATTAAATCCTTTGAATTTATGTCAAATGCTTTGAAAACCATCCAAAAAGTTTCCAAATTTACACTCCATCTTTTGATTCTTTCTTTGTCTAAATCTTTAAAATGTCAGTTCATGAAATGTCCCACATCGATTTAGAGCAAGGGACACAAAGCCGCTCCGTTGCTGGAAGTGATATCAGTTCTTTTTCTGATGCAGAAGAAGGGTCTTGCTACTCTCAGTTCTATTCAACCACCGGTGGCTCTTATGATGATTACAGTTTCGCTTGTGTCTCTGATCCGGAGGGTATAATCGGCGTGGTATTGGATTCTAGGAGGGTGTCTTCAGTGTCTGATTGCTCGGTGGAGGTGGGGATTGAGAATGGGGTACCTGAAATAAAGGTGCATTTGAGTAAAGTGGAGAGAGATTGTAGGATTTGCCATCTGGGTTTGGAGAGTAATAGTCACGAATCAGGTGTTGCTATGGAATTGGGTTGCTCTTGTAAGGATGATTTGGCTGCTGCTCATAAAAAGTGTGCAGAAGCTTGGTTCAGGATAAAGGGAAACAAGTAAGTACAAGGTTGAATTCTAGTTTTTGTTTCCTCAGGTAAACTTTCTTTTGCTGTTTTGTTTTGAAAATTATTCATTTACAGTGTTCGTATGATCTTTATAATTTTGGATTATGTTTCATTTTGCTTGTTTGTGAGAAATGGTAAATTTCCACTTTGTGCTTCTTAGTATGATCTAAGTTGGTTGATGAGTTTTTTAAAGTGTAAATGATGCACTAAAGTGGGATTTTTGAAGGAATAATAATAACAATTTTTCACCAAAGAGGACAAAGTTTTCATTAGTTAAGGCTTTTGGATAATGCATTGCAGTCTGATTAGTTTATGGGATATGAAGCATTGATTTATGGGAAATCAAAGGTGATGTGGAAGTTAAGAATTTTGATGAATAAAAAGGAAAGTGGAAGGAGATTCTGTTTATTAAACAAGTTGATAGGGGGAAAAAGGTAAAGCAAAAAAAGTACAGCGTTAAGATAATGTCCCAATGATATGTCTAACTACACCGACAATTTCTTGTCAATCTGTACTTTTTCGAAGTTTAGGAATCTAAATAATGCTCCTTTCTTGATTTTCTTCCTCTTTATCACTGTGGAGATTTGACTCCTTGTTGATATGTTGATTAAAAGATAATTGCTTGTGGGTGCGCCAGTTCATATTTGTATTTGTATAATTGCTGATGCTGATTCCTTACTTCCTGGTCATCTGATTTACTTAGCAACAAATGATAATTCGCGTCCAATATCTTATGCACAAGACAAGATAAGCATCACAAGATTGCGAATGACGGGTAGAAATCTCCTGATAGTTATGGATCCTAAAACCTATGGTTCATGCATTTCATAATCAGTATTTATCTGTCACAGCATGTCTGTATCAGTCACATTGGTTGATACCTTGCCGAAACCATGGTGGAATGGAATATCTTGGTATCAGTTATAATCCACTTCACTATTGGACTTGTTGGACGTAGGCAGTTGATTGGTCTACTCTTGGATTTAACATTGTTTTAATTTCTGGTTATAACTTAGAACAACCAGGGAAAACTCATTTGGTGGAATGTTTTGTATCTGAAACTGAACATTCAAAACTTTTAATTCGAGCACCAACACGTGCTTATTGATGCATACATCAACTGGTTGCAAGGATCGTCTGTTGATCTTGCTTATCCTTACTGGAATAATGTTACATGATGTAAAAAGATAAAAGATATGCACAGGAACAAGTGATGGAAGCTGGCTATCGTGGAGGTTCAATGTAAACTATTTAATAGTAAATACAGTATTAGACATCATCTATTGTATGCTGCAGTAATAAAGTGGTATCTCTAGCCCTTAATCTATCACCCCATTCTTTGTCTGTCAATCAGAATAGGTAATCTTTATACTTTGAATCTGAAGCTTTTAACTGTGCGTGTGTCTCTGAATAAAATTTTCAAAATCGCTGGCTTATCAGCATATGATATTCAAATCTCTGTCTCTCATTTCTGGTGTCTTTTACCTGGTATTCTAGTTCACAGTTACCCAGCTAGCCTTTTATCTGAACCAGTTTTTTGGGAATGTTTTATTCTTAGGTACTGTTGTACTCAGCTGAACAGATGAACTACATAAGCTATATTCCTTTTTGGGGTTGCAATTAGCAGCATTTATTTGCATTTAACTTTTATTTTAAATTCCTAATCCTCTGCCAACTATTATGGTATGTCTAATTAGTTCCTTTTGTCACGAAAATTAGTGTCATATATGCTTTGGTATTAATTTCTCACCTATATTCATTCGCTTCACTTGAAATTTACCAGGACCTGTGAGATTTGTCATTCTATTGCACGCAACGTTGTTTTAGCAAGTGAAATCGAATTGATTGAGCAGCCAAGTGAGACAAACAATGCCCTGGCAAATACTGCTGCGACAGCAGTCTCAACATCAATTCCTGCTACAGAAACTCGAAGCTTTTGGCAAGGCCACCGCTTCCTGAATTTCTTGCTTGCTTGTGTGGTATTTGCATTTGTATTATCCTGGCTCTTTCACTTCAACGTGCCATCCTCGTAAACTCTTGTAGAAGAGGCTTGAGAGAATAGGAAAAGGAAATAATTATAGAGAAAAGCAGAATCATTCTAGAAGATCTTGCAGAGATTGTTGTGTGATGAGTGAGGAAGGATGAAGTGCCTTGTGAGGTTTTATAGGCTGTCATACGTTGATATTTTCCTTTAAATACACATAGGAGTTTGTTGATCTATATACGTACGCTGATATTTATCAGAGCTTTGTCTGCCTTGAAATTTGTTTTAATTGATTCATAGCTCTGCCCATAAAAATATTTATAGGTGTTCGAAGGTTGTATTGATTCATCTAAAAGCTGTTATTTTTAAGGTTAAGCTTTTCTTTTGTAATGACTTTTGATATAATTCTGCAGAAATTACTAAAAACACTAACAGGTCTGAGATTGTTGCTATTCGTTTACTGTAGCAACAATTTTCTTTTTTATTTTCGGCTGTTGGTGCTTGGGCCTGCTGCACCTGGTCCTTTTTTCTTTGGCAGCTCACACCTGGCCCTTTTTTTTCATTTTATATATATGTGTGTGAATTATCATGAAATTAGGTGTGAAAAATATAAAAATTAATTTTTTTTTATATAGTTTGAGGATAATATAATATATATAATATTTTTTAAGATTTTAGTTTGAACATATATATTTGATTATATTACTCTTATTGTTTAAAAATTTATTTCTTTAATTATTTATTTCTTATTAAAATTCTCATCAAATTAATTTTTTGATATAATTTTATTTGTTAGTAAATTTTATTTTTTAATATATGAATTTTAGAATAAAATTTTAGAACGGCAATATTTTATTTTTTAAAAATATATTATTATAATTTATACATATTACAAATTAATTATATATCCGCACACATTATACCAATTATTTGTTATTTATTTTTTTCATATTCTAATTTTTTAAAGTAAAATAAGTTAGTTAATGTTTTAAAAGAACCTTCTAATTATTTGAATATAAATTTTTATGCAAATATTATTAAATATTTTGTTAATAAATATATATAAATCGAACAAGTTTTGCTCAATATATAGATTCGATTTACATTAATCACAAAAAATAAAACTTTCATTCGCATTACACCATACAAATCATTAATCCTACGTAAGTAATAGTTTTTAACCGCAGCATAACATGACTACCTAACTAGTAATTCCTAAATCCCATTGTGTTTTGTGAGAAATATTTTACCAGAATTCCCTCGGAAAGCGTTTTGAAAATCCCTCCACCATGAAATGAAAGAGGTGTCTTGGCCACTGTTATTCCTCTTATTTTCCCCCAAAATGGTCATGACAAAGGTTCATGAATATTGGATTCCCAGATCGAAGTGTTAACCAGCAATCTCATTCTTGGAAGGATCCATAACAAACAGGCAACAGCCTCTACAACAGTCCATGCTTGAGTTGACGGACAACAGCTATGTCTGTTACAGTGATATGTGTCCCCAATGTTGCTTGCACTTACCAACAACTGAACTCAGATTAAGGAACAACGGAACTGCAGAAGCATAATTTATCCACACAAACGAAAATAATTGAAGAATACTGTAATTTCGACTTGGGGTCAAAATAAGGATAGAGAAAATGAGAAGCAAGAATGCATACAAGAGCCTACACAAAATTACCAAGATAATAATAAAAAAACGACCTATACACTTTCAGTTTTTGTTTCTTTTGGCTTCCAAGTTTGTGCCATCTTTGAGTGTTTCTTGTGCATCAGTCTCCATTCCAAGGCTGAAAAGGCAAGCTGCTTGAAGGTACGAGGCAGTGGACCACTCAGGAGACACCACTTGCGCTTGCATAGCATCCCCTAGAGCTTCTTGTGGCATGTCACTCATCAAGTAAGATAAGCAACGCCTGGCATACACAGTTGGTGACACCATGGTTCCGCCATCTATGAACTGCAGAAGACAAAGGAAAACTTAATCTTCTTTCAGAAGCCAGCATAAAGTTCTATTGCAATCAGGATGCATAAGTAAAACTTGAACCCATATTTTATTACAAGATTCAAAACTAACAATAAATCTGTGGAAGAGGCTCGATTTAGTGTTACTATATGCCAGCAGCAAACTGTATAAGAGATTAAGAACTTCGGGCAAGAACTTTATCAAAATATACGATTTATCTCTTGTTCTTTGTTCTTAGAATATAATTCTTCATGTCGCTAAGCAATCCAATAGAAAGTTTTCATCTCTAACTAAAGACATATTGATAGTCTACTAATTTATCACTGAATAATTATAGCGGCAACAATATAATGCCAAATTCTCTGGGTAGTCTTAAAGTAATTTATAACTAGAGAATTATAAACTAATTTATCACGTTGGGCTGCTTATAACTGTATAAGAAAATAAACCATCCTAACCTCAAATTCCAAATTTGACAAACAAGGGAAACTCACTTGAGTGTAGCAATCAATGGCAGTCGCAAAATCCTTAGCTCGAAAAGCAGTATCTCCATGCTTCTTAGAATTCAAGGTCTCTTGCATTTGATTAGTCCACATTTGGAAAGAAAGCTGCAAGGAAAGAAGAAAACAATCAAGAGCCAAGCAAACATTTGAAAAACAGGTCACATATTGAGCCAGAGCAACACGATAAGACTTTTCCCCAATGGTCCTGGTATCTAGTTCCTGGGATGAAATTTTTAGATTCGGACACAAAATCCTGGGAAAAAAGGGGTTAAGAGCTGTGGACATGGTTTTAAATTGATAGGTGGACAAACTACCAGCTTTTCAAATTTTTTTGTGAATGGACAAATTAACAGTAGACCATGAGACAATAGATACAACTGTAGACATGGTTTTTAATTGATTATATAATAACTCAACAGGGCTTTGTCCTGGCCTTACGGAGCATAGTTATGACTATTATAAGGCACATTGGCATGACTAGAAACCAAAACAATTCATTTATCCATTTATTTATTTTCATTGCAATGAAATCTAGAAATTCACTCAAATTTCCTTTTCCTTCAACTCACTTACTCTTGATGCACATGTGACACAGACTAATCTTGCTAATTTATTGAATAGGGCATCAATGGATACATTTTTCAGTAACAAAATAAGCCATTAATTAGAAGAGATGGCAAACCTCATTGGCAATCCCCTCATCATCCTTGTATCCAATCTTTTCAAGTACTTCATGTATAGCAGTGAGATCCATTCTCAAGCATGCCTCCCCAAAAGGTGTCAATGACAATGGCTGAGTTGATGCTGCAGTTTCTTGTTGGAGACCCATTAAAACATACGATGGGACCTGCTAAAACTACATTTGATAAGAAACAAGCCTATTTAAATAAACTATTCAACCCTGCAGAAGCAGGCCTCATTTTAAGATAAGTATGCCGTCCGTCCTCTATGAAGACATTCAGGACAATCAACCACTTTATATACCTCCGTTTCTTTTTGAAGTGATATAAGTGCAGTGACAAGGGATTTAGCATTTGGTCTTTCACGAGCTTCATACTGCAAACAACGGGAAGCTAATCTAACCAACTCCGTTCCATCATCTTTTGAAAAATGGCCTTCTAGAGCAGAATCCATTAACATCAGAAAATTTTTGCCACGGATCAGGTCAAGTGCCTAAATACAAAAACAGTGGAGGAAATCCTCAATTTTTTTTATGCTTGAATGACCATCAATCACTGTGAATAACAGTAATCCATTTGTACTGCCAGTGACCGAGAAACCAATAAGATTGGTGATTACAGCATCAGAAAAGCAATAACTTACATGACTTGGAGGAATATGTTTGCCACTCAGAAGATCCAACAACAAGGTTCCAAAGCTGTAAACTACACTTTCTGGTGTAACTCTACCTGCCAGGATTACGTAACAATTTCAACCATCAACCATTTCTAATGACTTAATCATTTTCAACCTTTTACAAAACTAATCAGATTGAGATGTAATCAGACTGCAAATAAATACTGCAAAGGTCATATCAGTTTATAGTGTCATAAATTCTGATGCTGACACAGACAATCTTTACCAGTTCTCAAGTACTCTGGAGGGGTGAAAGCCAAATTTGTACTGTAACTTTTGCCATCTCGGCTATTCTTCATGAGCCCAAAGCAAGATAGCCTGGGATTACCATCCTGTCAACCGCCAAACCAAAATTAGGACTGACACAATACTGTAGAAGAACCAAAAAGAAAATTCTACATCCTAGAAAACCACACTTTACCTTATCGAATAAGATCCTGTAGGCATTGAGATCATGATACAACGCCCTTCCTTTGCTGCTACAGTATTCCAGAGCTTGTGCCAAGTAGAGTGCTACCCTCAACCTCATTGCCCATTTCATGGGCTGGCTCTCCCCTTTATGACCAAAATATCAAGAATCAAAACAAAGATCATTCAAGAATTGCACATGATGATCTTGCATAAAAGTCGAAACTACTTTAAAGTTCATAAACTCTATAAACCATTATATCCCCTAAACAAATCTGGTCAACTTGATTTCAATGATGGGCATCCATTTTTAGCTAACATAAGACAAACGGTAAAAGGACTAAAGGGCCTGCCTAGCCCTCGCCAAACAAGCAAAGAATTTCAAGAGCCAAACAAAAACATTAAAATTCAAACACAAGACAAAAAGAAAAGGTACTCACAGTGAAAAAGATGCTTAGCAAGAGTTTCATGGGGCATAAACTCAGCAACAAGCAATTTCTCCTCTCCTTCACAGCAACATCCTATCAAATTCGCCAATCTCTCACTCCTCAAACTCCCCACCGTTCTCGCTTCCTCCTAAATTACATTTTTACCAAATTCGTTTCTTGAATATACTAATAATTTTTCATCATTCTTATAAAAAAGCTTTAAAAGAAAAGAAAAGAAAAGGTTAAAAGGATGTACGAGGAATTGGCGAGAATCAGGCCAGGCGAGTCGGTTAAACCGTTTAACGGCGATCCAACGGTCATTGTCTAGTTTCCCTTTGTAAACAACGTTTGGAGCTTTCTCACCGTGTTCCGATACTATGTTGTCCGAAGAGAACCCAGACGTGGCTGCTTTCAGTTGTTCGAAACTGAAGTCTGTGAAATTCGGAAACGCGTTTTTGTCACTTTTGCCCCCATTTTCTGCACCGAAATGACGACATTACCCAAACTATCACCCCAAATTTACAACAAAAAAAAAAAAAAAAAAAAACCATAGAGACGGACAGAAGGAAGAAGAGTAGAAGACTTTAGTTACCGAGATCGGAGGTTTCGAGGACGGAAGGTTTCAGGTGAGACTGGAACCAGCAGAGAGAGAATTTGGAGCAGCGGGCTCCCATTGATCAGATAAAATAAAAAATCAGAAGGCGATTAGACAATGTGAGGTCAAATAATCAAATGGTTTGCATTTACATTACTTATTCCTGTCTACAAGTTTTTGGCTGAGGTCAATGGTGCTTTACAAAAAAGGAAAGTGTAGGTTGTGGAGGATCCAAAGTTTCGTTGAAGCTAGCTAAGCTACTACTGCATCATTTGATGCTGTGCTGTGTGTGTATTTGTGCAAGAAAGCGCAAAGGGCCTTTTGCTCTCCTTTCTGGTTTCAGCTTTCTGCCTTTTTTACCAACCTCTCTCTCCCATCATCCCTCTCTCTCTCTCTCTCTCTCTCTCTCTATATATATATATATATATATATATATTTATTTATTTATTTATTTTTCAATTTTTCTGTGTTTTTTTGCGGTAAATTTTTGGGTGGTGTTTGAGGGGTTTTTTTTTTTTTGGAGTAGATTATAGATTAGTCCCTCTTATTTCGAAAACTAATTCCTTAGTTTTTATACTTTAAGTTTGTTGATGAGTTAGTGCTTTTATAAATTTTCTATTAGATTAGTAGTTTTTTCTTTTTCTCAAATTGCTCTTTTTTAATGTTTTTTTTCTCCTCTCAACTAAAAATTAAAAAGCAATTTAAAAATAAAAATTAATAATCTAACAAAAAGTTGATGAAATAACTAAATTATTTATAGAATTAAAATGTAAAAGACCAAATAATTATCTTTTAAAAAAGATGAATTAATTTATTTTTTAAATGAGAGAGACTAGTTTATAATTTACTCGATTTTTTGGTTTTTTGTGTGGTTTTATTTATTTATTTATGATATTGTTTTTTTTTTTTTAAATCTTGTTTGTTTGATGGGAGAGGTCATTTAAAAAAAATTAAAAACAAAAAAATACTATAGTAACACATTTCATCACTAATCTAATAAAAAAATTGATGAAATAAATAAGTTATTGATGAAATTAAAACATGGAGACTAAATGATTAGTTTTTTTATAAAAAAAAATTATTTATTTATTTTTCAAAATGAGAAGGACTAATTTATAACTTATTTTTGTTTGTTTGGTTGTACAAAATTTAAAAACTAGTACACAATACTATTTTTTTGTTTAGAATGAACTATATTTTTGCCTTTGTATTCCTCAATGTACTCTCATAGTCTTATATTTCCTAATTTGTTCCCTCTTATAATATTTAGAAAGTTTTAATTTTTCCATTTACTATTAATAACTAACAAAAAAAAATATTTTCTCTCTTTTACTCTTTAATCACCATATATGTTTTGTTATATTATTCTTTCAAATCTAATCTAATCTCCTATTTTCTTAAAATGATTAATAATTGTTTGTTTGGATTTTGACAAGTTCAAACCTATTTCCATGTATGGTATGACTGGATTTATGTTAATCCCTAGTTGCTTTTGTTGAAGTTTTGTGGGGTTGACAAACTAATTGTAATCAAATCTCAACTAGATGCTTTTAATTTAATTAATATTGAGATTAAGTTAATTCTAATCTTTGTTCTTAAAATTATGGATTTTTGGATCTAATGAGTAATGTTAAAGGTTCACATTTCTTTTTAACGAAGAGTGTAAAAAAGTCATGGGGTTCATGCGATCACCTGAAAATGAAGCAAAATCATTAGCATTAAAAAAAAAAAAAAAAAAAAAGAAGAAGTATTTCTTTGAACCTTACAATTTGAGAGATCGACAGGATAGGATTGATTTTCCATAATGCATATCCAAGGAAAACCTTAATCAATGGGAAAAAGGTAGCTGCCTTTAAAAAAAAAAAAAAAAAAGATAATAATTTAGCTATAAAGTAAAGTACAATGATTTGTAACTTAGCTTTCAAGCAGCTATTTTTAGATTACTTTCATAAAATGGAACCACTTTATTTCTTTTCGATTCTAGGTATCCTTATAAAATTTAATTTCTTCAAAAAAATATGATTCTAAAATTTGAATGTTTATTAATATAACATTCATTTGGAAATCAGCTCATTTACATTTGGATCAATAATTTATTAATTTTTTCAATTAGATTTTATATAAGTTATAATTACATCTTATTTAATTGATGTAGTTGTTAAAAAAAGTATTTAAATAATAACATGGAAAGTATATCTGCTTATCAATCCCACCATGTGGTTGCAAAACCATGGAGAACAGTAGTTCATGATTTTGTAGATTAGCAACCAGGCCACGTACAGAAACCTCACCATGCTACTTCAAATGAGTAAATTATAAATCAAAAACTAACTATTTAGTCCTCCACATTTTAATTTCGTAAAAATCTTAGTCATTTCATTAGTTTTCTATTAGATTAATGATTTTTGTTTCCAAATTACCCCCTTTTTTTTTGTTGAGGAGAAAAAAAGAAAAGTGATTAAAAAAATTAAGACATTAAAAGAAAAAAAATTAGAATAAAAATCACTAATCTAACTACGTTATTGACGAAAGTAAAACATAATAGAATAAATAATTAGTTTTTTAATTGAAAGAGATTAATTAATTTTTTTCTCAAGATGAAATAGACTAATTTATAATTTGCTCTATCTCAAAACCCTGAATAAGTTGATTCCATTCCTCATGCCATTTCCTTATTTTCTTCCATATTGGAGGATGGGCCTTTTGTTTTTATGCTATAAAGATTCTAAACATGGCCTCCATTTCCATATATCCAGCCTAAAAAGATTAAACGCTTTTTTATTTTTACAAACAGTCTGAAAAAGATTTCAAAACGAAAGTGATGTTAGCTTCAAGAATCAAGACAGAACAACGCATTACAGGACAAGAAACTGGCATATGCTAAGTTTCCTTGTTCGATATTTTTAGGATAAGTAGTTTCATCTATTTTTGTATAATATTTTGAGTTTTTCATATATGTTTTTAAAATATCCAATCTGTTTTTGTGATTAACTTTTCTGATCATATACAATTTTTTTATTGAAATGATCTTTACTAAAATACAAAACAATAATACTAAAAAAAATATTTGAACTCACATTACTTGCATGCTTTATTTTTAATTTTTTATTTTATTAACAGATATTTTGATTAAAAAAAAATTCTATAGCCAGAAAAATTGATTAGAAAAACAGATTGAACATTAAAAAAAATAAAATTAAAGACAATAAATTCAAGTAGAAATCTAGAAATAAATAGGAGACTCAAGATATTATATAAAAATAAAATAAATTATTTATCCATATTTTTATTGTAAGCCGAGAATTTTGGAAATGGAGCCTTGTTATTTCTCCCTTCGCACTTGCATTCTTTACAAGATCATGCTTTTGATCACACACTGATCATCATTCAGTAAGGATAACAAAAAAAAAAAAAAAAAAGGATGGAGCAAAGCAATCTCCTTTTGTGCGACAGTTGGAGTTATTATTTGGATCGCCCATTTAGGGGTCTAGAGGCCCCCTTTTACAGGGAAAAGAAAGGAGCATGTCAAGGGAGAAAGTGGTTCTTGCATAGACATGCCACAATGATGATGATGATGATGATGATGCGCCTCTCATCTTATCACACTCTAGCTAGACAGATCATTGGCCTCCCTCCCTCTTTATTGACTAACTTTCTTTCTAAAGCTTAATTTGCGCCAGCATCACCTTTTGGGCATCGACAATGGTGGGGCAATCAGTGCCTATCCTACCATTTAAGATGAGCAAGCAAGCACGGGGCCTTGCTCATTTGCTGTCAAAGTGTCAACAAAAACACACTTGAAAGAGCCCACATGGGCAACAAGATCGAACTCTGATACTGCCCATGTCCTTGAAAACAAGCAGCAAAGAATGCATTAAAGAACATGAGGAATCGAAGATGGGCAAACCTTGAATTCTTATATATATCTGCAGAAGCATTTTAGTATATGATGCCCCACGGTTTCTACTTTCAACTCCTTTCCAGGAGGGTAGAGCATCAATGGTTTCTTACCACCTACCTTTTCTAGCAAGCCATGAATGAATAACATGGATCTTTCGGGTCCCCCTATTTTAAAGTAAATTATAAATTAATCCATCTATTCTCAAGAAACAAATTAATTAATCCCTCTTGTTTTAAAAATTAATTATTTAGCTGTTGATTACACTTAATTTAATATTAATTTATTTCATAAAATGTCATTTTTATCATTAGTTGTTTCATATTTTTTACTTTTTTTCTATTTCTTAAAATAAAAAATCAAAATAAATTTAAAAGAGAGAGAGAGAGAGAAAGGAATTAAATTACAAGAAAATTTAAAAATATTGAAATTAAATAATTAATTTTTGAAAAAAAAATAATTTATTTATTTTTTGAAACTAGAAGGACTAGTTTATAATTTATTATCTTTTTTTATTTTTTGTCATTGATAATAAAATCCTATAGCTCACAACCAGTGGTTAGGCATTGAAAGAATTAACATTAGCAGTTAATAATCAATGGGACAGGAGAAGAAAATTGTATCACTTACTCTGACTTTTTCTTGTAATAAAGTTTTTTTTTATTTATTTAAATATTTTAAACACAAAGATTTGAACCGGTGAACTCCCCTATTTTACTTGAATGATTTCATGGTGCATGAATGTATCTTATACATAAAAATGCAATAAACTGTGTGATTAGTAATGCAATTGCAAGTACTTTTACTCTAAAAACACACTAAAAAAAGCATTTATTTGATGTCATCACACTCAAATGCACTTGGAAAAGCAACATGTTGATCATGGCATGTGCTGGCACATTGTTTGTCTCAACACATACCGTTGATGGTAAGAAACATGTGCTGTTTCCATTTTAAATGGAAACCTTGGCTAGTCGTGACGGTGATCTTTGATGTATTAAAATGCATGAAGACAAGGGGGGTGTGCGGGTCATGATTCAGGGCAGAAAAACAGAGCATTTTTCCTGAATCAAACATCACATGCAACATTCAAAGAAAAATAAACAAACGAATCATCATTTGTTCTTCAGATGGTGTTTCATTCTACCCTTGACTCGCTGGTGTAAGAATTATTTGTTTTTCCCCCTGTTTTCATGCTGTTGGAATTGGAACTTCAGCTCTAGACTTTCAGGTATCTCCAGAATTCTTCATCGAATTAGATAGCAATATTGTACTATCAGCAATGACAATGTTTTCACCTATTTGATTAAATGTTCACACAACAAAGCAAAGGATCAGTCCTTTAGTAATTCACATTTGTCGTTAAATTCTGATTTAGAATTGCCTTCGGCTTTGCAAACAATTATATTTTCCGCAAACTATCCTTAAGCGCAACACAAGATGCAGAACGCAGACCATCCTTAAGAAAGGACATGGAGGAAATAGGAACCATGAAGATACCATGATACATACTGATGCTAATGAGGGATTGTTTTAACCATGAAAAGGAGCAGGATTGCATACTTTATCAATCAATGCAAAACCCATATTTCATTTTCTCTAGAATACAAATCAAATGTACTGCAGTGTTGGAAATAGAAGCTGACCACAGCAGCTACTAAAAATCCTTGCATCCAGGTCATAAAGATGCGAACAGCAATTCATGCAGCAGTTATGGCTGTGGTAGCAACCTCCGTCCCCTATGCACCATTCATTGCAGTGGCATCAGCATGGACTAAATTGGCATCATCCAAAATCTTGCCATTGACTTGGGTTCTCTGCCTCTGGAAAAGATAACAGGCATCACTACAAACAGCAATCTATATCGCACAACTGTACAAAGCCGATTCGTGGAAAAGAAGACAATTAATAGATTCACTATTGACCATACCCAATCTGCAGGGTCTACTGAGTTGCCATTCAAGAGCTTGTGGTTCTCTTCTTTAGTCTTGCTATCCTTGTCTTTGGTACTCAATGGCAACAACAAAGAAGCAGTTCGATCAGGTAGTTCTGCATTCAACAACTCTTATGTCAGTATCATCCCTCAACGATGCCTAAAGGAAAAGGTGTAAAGAAAAAATTAGAATGAAAAATTGCAGGACATCCTTGCCTGGTAATTTCTTGTCTAGAAAGAATACCACTAGATTAACTGTATACCTGGAAAGCACCATTTACAGAAACAAAATAAAAATCAGAATGACATTACATATGTATTTTCTAATAGAAATAACTGCATAATCAAATAGATCATACATACCACGCTACAACAACATCAACGGAGTAATGCTTGCGTGATGCTATAATTAAAAAGCTCAGAACTACAGCAATCAACCAACCTATCTGCTTTATACACCTACAAAAATGTGCCAAGACAATCTGAGCGGAATTGTGTGGAATGTGAAACAAAAGGCAAAGGGGGTGGTGCAGACTTGAGAAAACCAGACCACTTATTGCACTATTCTCTAAGAAGACAGCTATCACATAACCAAAAATCACAAATTGATTCTGTGTTATCAGGACCAAATTTCTATCAACCAAAAAAAAAAAAAAAAAGATCAAATGGAGCCAAATAGAAAAGACTCTTTTTCCTTCTGGGCGAAAGAAACAATATTTTTACAAGCCATATTTTACCTTTTTGTGCCGTACTTCTGATATGTGAGGACAAAGACTAGAGTAAATATCATGTGTGATGAAAAAATCAAATCGCCACAACCATGTGTGATGCCCCGAGGAACTGCATGATCAACAAACAAAATTAGCTCAAAAATTCATGGAAAATAACAAACAGAGGATCAAGTTAAAACAATGGTTACTGACAATTAATTAAGAGTACTTCAAATGCACTCTGTGGATGTGGCAACCTGGCAAGTTTCGAACCCTGCAACACAGAACAGCTACCCAATTATATATCTCAATTTTGAAGTTCCCATTTTTTATTCAAATAAATGAAAAGTAAATGTTCAAACGAAAAGAGCTACTAGATCAATGTATTCCATTCATTTATATAGTCAAAAACCAATCATTGCCATTTTTTTTATTTTTTAAAAAAGGAAATAGACATATGAGATATTCTACCTCACGACAATGATAGTTTGGACCTGGAAGCTGGGTGGAGTAGAATGTGATGATCCGGAGAATTTGAGAAGCCTAAAGTAGAGAAAAAAAAAAGTCAGAAACTGTCAGAAAGCATTGGGGAATTGCATATTCTCCCAAAATGATCTACAAACCAAAGTTGTTATGGCACCATTGGGTATGTGTTTTAGTGCTAGCTTACAAGTTTCAAACAACTAACTCACTAATAGTCCCAGCATGACATTGTTTGTATATCATTTCAAGGTATACAAGTTTCTCAACACAAGAAAAACGACTTCCAATTAGATTGGCACTTACAACTAGAAATGCTAGAACCCTGCACCAAACTAGAACTGTGTAGACCTTTTTGCTCTTGAAGATGAAGGGATGGAAAGTCCACTGCAATAGAACAGGTTCCCAATTAAGGATAAAAGATACAAAACTTTATTTTGAAGTCACTCACGCAAAGCTGGAAATAAAGAGCAAATATGACAAAAAGGTCAAATTTATAGATAAATAAACAAAACAATGGGTAACTTCACAACTATTTCTGCTCAAGCGTCTTTTCACCAATAATGTAAATAACCAAAACTGTTTGTGAAGCTTCCTAGCAAGCAGCTACCATGTAATAAAAGCTGCATGTGCATGTCATTGAATAATATATGGCTGCACCAAATTTGTTGAACTTAATTTAACTTTGTTGGAAACAACCCCACATTGAGCAGAAAAAGGAGATTATCAGAACCAGAGGAGATTTTAGAATCATTCATCCTATCCATAAAAATCATTTGTCCTATCCATATAATTATCAGATATGTAAGATGGAAGACACTCTGAAGATAAAAATATAACTGTGTATAACCCAGAACTCTACGTGAAGGGATTTCTTCTCCATGAGCAGATGATTTAAATACACATCAGGGTTAAGAACTACTTCCCATGAATCAATGCAAAAGCTTTTTCAAAAGTACAGCAATGACAACCCTATTACAGCATTCTAGGCTACTATGTGACTTAAGCACTAGATTGCCAATAATAAACCACAAAGTTCTAACACTTGAACTATTTCAAGCTTCACCTCTAATAAAGTGTTCTATCCTGATGACACTCTGATTCAAGAAATGGTATGGAACATTCGAATTTCATGTGCATTTCTCATTTTATAATATAGGGATCTATTAAAATTCGAAATCCCGATGACAGAGGAGGCAGAAATACAACCTATCAAAAACTTATCAATTAGGAAAACGGGAGAGGGAAAAAGAGGTCAGACATATTTAACAAGAAGAGGCAACGGGGAGCATAAGTGCTACATTGTAACCTTACCGCAACAAAGGATAGAAAGACACAGGTGAACACCATCTCGCTAATGTAGGCTTTATCTTGCCCAAGCTCCTGAATTATCAAACAGAGTTAGACAATAGAAAAAGAAGCATACCACAAAAGAGGGAGGAAAGAAATAAACTAGCACCAACCGGAAGAAGAAAGAACCCAACATCCTGCAATGTTGGCCCTGGCCGGTGTAGATAATGAACTCCTCGGGCAGCCAAACCATGTATGTACTGTGGGCAAGAAACATATATTACATATGTTAGGACATAAACATCAACTAGAATCGGAAAGAAAAAGAAAATAAAACAAGAAGGGGAAATGCAAAAACACAAAAGCTCCACCAGAAAATCTGATGGGACAGTATAAATGCATACAATTAGATGCAGTTGAAGCTATCCTAATAAGTAAAAATCACATCATAAGTTGATTACAATTATCAAATGCACTAGCAACTCATCCCAGAATACGCAATTCAGTGACTCAAAACAGCACACAATGTATAAGTGTGATCCCACAAAAATTGTTAATATGGCAAAAACTTACTGGGACTTTAGCTTATGCTTATGCTGATGTTGTTTCTTATTCTTTAATTTTACTTTTTCTTTTCTTTATTACACTTAACATAGGCTTATGCTAAAAGTATAAGTTTTCTCCAAAGGTGGGGCAAACAAACGACGACTATAACCTTTTACCAGATCCTTCATCCTTTTTCACAATCCTAAAAATCGAACCAACAACTTGACCAAAGAATTCCAGCATTAAATTCATAGAAGGAAAACAAGAGAGTTAGGTGAGGTCATAACAATAATAATAATAATAAGAGAAATTGAATTGAATTGAGACCTGAAAAATTAAACCTCCAAGAACATATTTCCAATTATCTGCAAGTAAATTGATCTCTGTTGTCGTCTCCGCACAAATTCTCTTCCACAACTTCACACACCCAAATAAAACCATTTAATCAAAATCAAACTCAAAAATCATGGGAATATTAAAAAAAACAAATAATTTAGAAAAATACGAACAAAAAAGAAGAAAAAAAAAACCTTGGAAGCCTCGCGACCAATGTAAAGACTCATGTTGTTCGTGTTCTTGTTTTTGTTGCTGTTGTGTAGGTTGGGTTTTAAGCACCAGTTCCATACTACTTCAAAACCCAACTTTTGAGGTAAACATCATTATTGTCCTCAAAATCCAAACATAATAAAAAATCTCTACACTTTTTCAACTTCAAATTTCGAAAGAAAAAAACACAACCGCTTCGGTTCTTCACCGATCGAGATCTCCACTAAAAGAGTGAAAAGCTCAAATGACGCTTCTATAGCAAGAAATAAAACAAAAAATAGAAGCCCTGTGTTTGTCGATGGATGTTTTGTTCTCTTTTTAATGGCTGGAAGTATAAAAGAAAACACGAGTTGGACACGGAGAAACAGGCTGATGAGAAAGAAAGAGAAGAAAAGAAGATGGGGTTATTTATATTGTAGTATTTTCATAAGGTTAGAAAAATAAAAAATAAAAAATTGAAGCTGCTGTTTTTCTTAACGGGTGCGATATTGCTAGGAAAATGAGAGAGACTTTCTAAAGACACCCAGATAGATATTAGAAGAGTAAATTATAAATTAGTCCCTCTTTTTTTACGAAATTAATTAATTAGTTCCTCTCCTTTCAAAAACTAATTAATTCATTTCTCAAAATATCTAATATTTGTTAAGTTTTTGTCATATTTATTAAATTAATATCTAACATTTAAAATATTCTTTAACGTACATATTCATTTGTGAAAATATATTTTGATGTTTTAGGAGAGATAAAGCAAGAGATAGAGAAATCAGAGATTAATAAAATGAGAATGGAAGATTTGATGAGAGTAATAAAGATTTGTTTTGGTATTTAAGGGAAAAAAATGAAAGAGATGTATATAAATGTGTGAATGAGATAAATAATGTATAAAAAAAGGCAATTTGAGAATAAAAAATTATATTGGAATAAAGATACCTTATTATTACTCTAATAGAAACTGATGAAATGACTAAATTATTAACATAATTAAAATATGAGGGATTAAATAGCTAGTTTTTGAAGGAAAAAAAAACTAATTAATTTGCTTCTAAAAAAAGAGGGGCTAATTATAATTTACTCGATATTAGAGACGCAGGAAAGGTTCATTAAAAACATTCCTCTAATTACTATTTTCTTACGACGTGGATTTATTTAACCCTCTAATTACATGCTAAAAAATAAAATTAACTAGTCAAGATGAGTGTTTATTTTATGGGCTAGATTTTTTGAAAAAAATCAAAATGATTGAATTGATTTGGAAATATATTAGTAATGTAATTTATTTATTTGTGTGATAGGTTCTGACATCATTGTTCAGTGTAATAGATAGATATTGTGATTAGTTTGGTCTTTCTAGAATCATGCCAGTAAAGGTGATCCTATTTCCCATCTTCAAGCCAATTAGGAGTAGGATTACTATCAAATACTTTTATAATCAAGCTATTTGCTTTTGAATGATGTTGTAGTTTGTAATTGCTACATTCATTTGTAAAAGAGGTTACATATCCATTTAGAAAAATATGAGAAAATCAATGATTATGTAACTATTAATACTGAGAGATAGAGAAGAAGAAGAAGAGAGGAGAGAAAAAAATAATTTGAGTCTAAATAAAATTATTTTTATATGTTTTATGGATCCAATATTATTTTTTTCTTTTGGTGTCTATTTTTTTTATAATAATTATGGATAGTTATTCCTTTAGTATTTTAATTTTTAGAAAAATATTAGTTTTTGCTATGATTTTTGTTGTGGCTAGTATGATTATTAATGCATTGCTAAAATATTTTTATGTTACATTGCAGTTAAATAACTTTCCAAATAGTTTTTGAAATTTTACAAGTCACCTTTTCCAATGAAATTCAAAATAGCTAAATTGTTCAAATTTCTTTTAATTTAAAATCATTTGCATTTCAAAATAGCTAAATGATTCAATTTATTTGTTATTATTTAAAAAAACTTAAGTCATTTGAGAATCAATGATTTGATTTTTAATTTTGAGTCAGATTTCATTCTAACTATTCTTTATTCAAATTAAATTTTTTTAATAATTTTTATTAATTTATCAATTTTTTTATGTATTTTTATTTGTCGAGAAGCGTTGTATTTATATATTAAAATTAATAAAAATCTAATATAATAACTTAATTTTAAATTAAAAAAAAATTCAACTCAAAATTAAAAGTTAAAAAATCATTCCTAAAAAACTTAAAGTTATACTTTCAAACTCTAAAAACTTTTGTTTACCATAGGACACTATGCCTGTAGGGCCTCTACAGCTACTGGAATAAAAGCAAAATAAAACGAAAAACATTGTGAAAACGAAAACAACAGATATTCTCTTCCTCGAAAGAATACATATTTTTGTCTTACCTGCTAGGAGAGAAGGGGGTTAAAAAGTCTGGTCCGCTCCGGTGATGGCCTGCCTGCAACATTAGGTAACTTGTATGAGATCGAGGATTGCGTGATGGATCCACAAATTAAACTGTTAAAAAAGGTAGTTGGTGTAGTGATCGAATAAATTTTTGACCAGTATAATTCAAATCAAATATTTATTGAATTTTAATTTATTTAAAAACCAATTTTCGAAATTTTTTATTTCAGGATTTAATTTTTTCTGATTTTTTTATTTAAATTTAGTCCATCTCTACCTATCGCTATTCCCTAAAAAATTTATTTTTTTTATTTTTAGCTGAAATTGTCAACACACGTTGAAAACACTCAATATATTTTTATAAAAAAATCCAATGATTTTTAAAAATTACAAGCATATTATTTTATTTTATTAACATTAAAAATATAGCAATCGAAAAAAATAAAAAATAATTCATAATATTTTTTGAAAAGTTCTAAATAAATTTTAATAAATAATTCTTTTGTTGAGTTATTTACATGACCATTATGTTTACAGAAAACTAAAATTTGGACTAAATTAAAAAAATCAGAAAAAATAAAATTCAAAATTAAAGTTTAAATACTGATCGAGCCAATTAGCCTAAATTGTTGATTCTTCGGTTATCACGAAAACCAAAAGGAAAAGTGTGAATTGGATTAGCCTAAAGTCACGGGTCTCGTGGCTCGGCCGACGAGGATAACGGATTCCCTCTCCCCTCTAACTCTCTCCCTCGTCCTTGTTTTTTAAATTTGAAAAAGTAAGCTTCTTGAACAGATACGATCATATTCATGCACGACATCATTTGTCATTTCACTCTCTCGTAATCAACGAGGATACGCGTACGTACCCACCACGTGTAATCACCTAATCAGAAGCTAATCCCATGTGGCTAATCCGTTATTTTGCAAACGACTCACTTCTTTTTAGCATATTTTACTTTTTTTTCCTTAATGGGCCTAAATTATGGGATTTTAATTTCATGTTTTTTTTATATTTACTTTGAGACAATGGGTATTGTTGAATTAATTTTTCATCAATCGAAATAAATTTTATTACTTTTTAGATTAAATTAATATAAAAATATGTTTAATTTTTTGTTAAACACTAAATTATTTTTAAAATAAATCAATCCAAACCAGATAATGATGAAATAAATAACAGACGTGTTAGGAATTAGGCAGCTAGAATTCATTAGTGCATAATTCCAAATGTTTTTTTTATATAAAAAAAATTATTTAGTTAATAGTTGCGCGCTTTTTTCGGTAACATTCACAAAAAAATATTGATCCAACTTTCCAACGGACAAAATTTGATTTAGCTTACAAATTTTTTGAATAATAAAATTTATGATCAATTTATAAAAAAAAATCTACAAATATACAAATATAAAAATTATTTCTTTATTTACTAAATAATTTATAATCTTCATATCGGACTATAATTTTCGAAGGAGAGGTTTTCATGTGCATGGCATGCTCATTGGAATTCAAAATAAACTTGTTTTTTAATTAGTAAATAATAATTTACTCCTTGTATTTTAATGATGCAATAACTTAGTTCTTTGAATATCGGTGATTGTTAATTCTTTAAAACTCTTTTAGTTATTTAGAAGATTATCAAACTATTTCTATAAATTTTTTTATTAATTTATGGTCAAAATGGTATTTAGGAAAGAAAATACCCGAATTGGTAACTGCTTAACATTTCGTTAATGAACATTTAATTTAAAATAGTAAATTATAAATAGAAATAAAAAAAACACAGGGATGCTATGTTAGGTTTTTTTAAAACCAAGTAACTAAATAGAAAAATACCTGAATTTTTATTGTTGTTATAAACAAGGGCTTCGAGATAATATTTTTTTTATAGAAAAATAAATATAAATGTTAGTTGAATTACAAATGTACTGCGAATGGAGGAAGAATTTGTCAAAGCTTGTTTCGTATAGTATATTATTTTGGTGGTTGATTTACCCTATTCTTGATGACATGGAATATTTAATTCTCAACCATGACCATAGTGCTGTTTATCTAGAATTTTGACTAAATTGCAAATGAACAGAAAATCAACTTTTTTTTTTTTTTCATTCTTTTGACTTTTGGGTTGGCATGAAAGGCACCGAATTTATTTGAAAAGGCAAATAGAACTTTAATGTTTTGGTTAGGTCCCTCCCGCGTACAGAGTAGAGCAATTTCAGGGCTCGAAGAATTTTGAGTTTCACTAGGCTCTGTCAAGGAATCGCATATCCTTTGGGCGGCATGAATGGATGTAATAATTTCTCACAGGTGCAATCGCCTTTCTTTAATGCGTTCATCTGTTTTGGAAATCATGTCTTCCCCTTTTGGTTTAAACTTTAAACAAGAAAGGTGGTCTCATGGAGTCTAACTCTCCACGACTTGCAAGAGTGTTGATTTAAAGTGTTATCATCATTTTCAAAAGCAAATAATAATAATAAATTAAACGTAGATGTGGAGGGAAGGTTTAAGAATTGATCAAACAAATGTTCGATGCATAGATCAAAATCTAAAATGTTAATATTGTGATCCGTAAACTAATTAAATAAAATATATGCAAGTAACGAAAAGTATAGGAGAAGAAATAAGTTATGTTAGTAAATTGTAAGTTAAGTA